GTGTGGCTCAAAACAAAAAAAATGAAGATCATGACTAAAGTGTGGCACAAATATAAAATGATTGATTATTGACCATTAAATGGCTGTTGGAAACTCTTAGAAATTAAGAAAAATCAGGGGACATAAGAAGAACTCTATTTGAGGCACAAATAGAAGAGCAACTAAGGAAAAAATGGTAAATCCTCACAAAGAGAGGTTCTAAAATAATAAATCATAAGAGTCACACATCTAGGAATTAGGAAATTCAGTATTTAGGATATAAATCTCTCACGTTGTATCTTTGTGTACATTTAGTACTTATGCCTATTTAAAGCCTGAATTTAGAAGATTAGTGATAAGTCTTCATTATCATGAGTTAATAATTAGTAAATAATATATTTTTAGCCTTAACTCATGATAAATAGACTTGTGTTTGTGTTAAAGTGTGAAAAGTGATTTTCAATTAATTAATGTGAATTTTTGGCTAATTATGTGATTTTTTATGAATTTATATGATTTTTATAGTCTTTTTTTGAGATAAATAAAGAAAAAGAAATAAAAATAAAAATATAGAAAAATGAGGGGGACCCGTCAGCTAGCTAGGCCCACAAGCGGGTCAGAAGCATAGTCGAGGGAGGAACCACGAGCAAGGGCTCGAGTGGCTAAGACTGATAAGGACATATGTGCGTCACTCTCCTCCCATGTCACTAGTGGCCAATCGGTTGTGGGGTGAAGAGTGGTCGTACATGTGAGAGAAAGAGACTCATTACTTGTAACTGTAATATGACTATATATTCACCTAAAACTTTAGCACACAAGTGATGTCGGACCAAACCTGCATCACATCTTCCTTCGAAAGAATTCAAAGATTTTAATACTTAAAATACTTCTTATTTATGATAGAGATGTACTATGATGACGTCACTTAATAAGGAAATTAGAGTACTTATTTTAATCTCTCTCATACAAGTGGGCAATCGATGTGGGTTCGAATCCTCTTAGAGCCAAAAGTTGTATTTTTATTTGATTATTGTAACTTTCTTGTAGATCACTGATGAAAGATTAAGCTGTAAAAATTACTAGATCATTGGTGAAAATCTTGTCAATATGATTTACAGAGTATTATAACTAAAATTATTAAATAATTCACAATAAAAGGATTGTGAATTCATCGAGTAAATCATCTCTAATTGATTGACAAATAAGTTGTCATCAGGAAGAGGATGATCTATTGAGAGATGAGTCGCTACCTCTTGAGAGCATACCGAATGCAATGAAGAGCCTCATCTTGCTACGTGGACCTAAGGATGAAGTTACCTGACATGCACCCCACCTCTATCTAACTCTTTTTTGTCAGATAACAACTGTTAGAGAGTCACAAAGTCACTATTTTTTTGTTTTATTGAATGACACATGTTGCAGACGATTCAACGACACATTTCATTAATCTCTAGATTTTGTAAGGAGATCTAGAGATTGCCCATGTCATTCTTGTCTAAAGAGAGTCTTCGAGACCATGGACACTACATGACAATCTTTTCGAATACTCAAGATTTTGATACATTGTTGACACATTACTGCCACAATATCGGAACTCTATTTTCTTACTTTCAACTTAATTTTCACTTCACTTAGTGATAATTTATGTGATTTAAATTTACTAAGCTATACTTCATTTAATTACGATTTTTTTGACTTTTATAGATCTTAATTTGATCAATTAAATTATTAGGTGGAACTCTACTTCCATCTGATTTGCATTCATCAGGTACTGATGTCATCTTGTTGTTCGCACTTTTATTTCTTTTTTTTGTAAATTTTAAATATATTTTATTTTTATTTTTAGTATAAAATTTATAGAAAATTATATTATTTGAGGAAAATTCTGAATAATTACCTAATATTATATTACATCTCTATGATTGACTTAAAAAAATATCATTATTTTAGAAGTTTAATTAAATTATAATTAATATATTTGTTCATAAATACTTCTAAATATCTGAAAATTAATATTTTCTAGTTTTACAAATTTTAAATTTACGTGATTTACTATACAATGACTAAGTCACATCAATTAGCTAGGTGACAATCCTATTGACCTCATAGAGTTGTAAATCTAGAAGAGTTGAGTAGATGCTACTTTAGTTTAGCCCCCTAGAATTATGAGTTTACAAAGTTTTGGGGAGAAACTCAAGAGTTGATTATTGTTAAGCCTAGTGAATGTAGTTGAAGCCTTTTTTATTCATTGAATTTAGTAAAAGTTTAGTGGAATTGAGGATGTTTCTAGAGTACCTGAAGTAGATTGAAACACAATTATTTGCATGAAAAAACAAGTAGGATTTTATAGAAATAGTTGTAGATCAAGTGACATCCAATTCACTCTCCCTTCTTTGGTGTCGTGAGTTGCCATAGAATATGCAACAACTTCCACACTTGTTAGCAACTTTAGATTACATATTGTATCTGATTTTAAAGATAAATGTTTATTTTTAATTCACTTGTCTTCATTTTAACCTCTTCATTGATGATTCTTTTTATGGATTCATAATTTTAAACACCATAAAACAACAAATGGATGACCTCTATTGTCAATATCAGTAACATATTTGGATATAGTAAATTATGTCATCATCTAGTCATTACTATAATAGAAACATGTTTATGATACAAAATTATTTTAATTTGTATTTGTCAACGTAAAAATACTTAAAGTGACGCATAGATATGTGAAAGGATAACAAGTACAACATCTTGCTGTCTTTCATTCTAACACAATTTTCAAGTCTTATGAATCCCTGAAGTTTCTTCTACCCCTTTATTATCTGCTCTTTCATTAGCTTCCAATTGATATTTCTTCTTCTAGTTTATGATAACATTTTTACGTTTTTCTTTGGCCAACATGTGGGAAAGCTACTATATTCCATGCGTTTGAATATCATGAACATAATAACCTGAAAGTTGATATCAACATTATGCCTTTTTTCTTCAAGGCTAAGCGGTTGTAGAAGTTTGAAATTGAAGAAAGAGACTGATTAATTTAATTCAAGCTCTTGTAGACGAAATGAATATAAAGACATCATTTCAAGTGATGAACTCACACGATGTTCAAGGGGTCATTTCCATCATTTCTTTTTGAAAAATAGGAAAGTAGTTCAGGAGATCGCAACCTTATTACATTTTTTGTTTTGTTTAGGATTTAAGGTTTAGACTCCACGAGGACCTAGCTCAGAAGTCAAGAGGGCTGTCGACAGTGACTGAATGGTAGAAGAAAACGGCCTTTGAAGATGAACGTCCGGTGACGTTAGGAGATGCAGAAACCACGAAGGAGCCCACACGGTTTCCCTGCTCTGATCAGACGAAGTCCTTCACATTAGGAAGAGTAGGAAGACGGGGGATCCGGCGCCGGTTCTCGGTAAAACCTCCGATGGTGACGGCCAGAGCTGCATAGTCCGGACGGTTGGCGACGTGGATCCACATCGGAGAACTTTGCTGCCGCGGCGCCAAAGACGTGCTTCTCGTCAGATCAAGCTACTCTTCTACACAGGTCCTGCTGCCTTCTAGCGCCGTCGTAATTCGTCCTTTTGTTATTGTCACGCAACTATGGTTAGTGCTGGAGTTTCTCGTTGCCATGCGGCTCAAGAAGGTGCTGATGCGGGTTCTCTCTCTCTCTCTCTCTCTCTCTCTCTCTCACTATCTCTATGTGTTTTAGAGCCCGAACTTTTGGAACTTTCCCTCGTACCCATACGGTTCAGATCGGAGTATTGAACAGCTCTTACCCGTTAGGGTCCGACGAGAGGCATGAGTAGGAGCTGAAAATGCTTCCCACGGCAGAACAAAGGAAGGAAACCAGCAACGGCAGGTCTTCAGGCTGCTCTCGAAACCTTCCATCCTCGTCCTCGCGGCTCCTCTAAGATCTGCCTGATCTCGAAGCCCTTCCAGAGGAACCCAAGACGTCGCAAAAGGGCACCATCTACCAGGGGCTAGTAACTGGGGATTATACCATCTCCGAAATGCCTCCAATGGCCTATTATACATGTAGATCTTAGTAACTGGTATGTGAAGTTATTATGACGAAACAAAATAACATTTGAGGATGAAAAGGAAAGGACCTTCCGTCTGAATCACACAACCTTGGGCGACCCTTCCAATGAGAGTTGAGATGCGACCCAGCACCTACAGCGAAAATTAGTAATCGAACAAGTGGCCAAAGAATGGCAGCGCTCCGATTGAAGAGTGATTGTTAACAAGCTAAATATGTCCTTTCGGTTCAAACTGTCTCATTTAATATGGGGCTATTCTCATGCAGGTCTCCATGTGTACTCCTCATTGATTTAGTTTCTCTTTCACATGGGTCGCACAATCCACGATGAAGCTTTTGACGATGAGATATCATCTTGAAGGAGAGGAAATTCCGAGTCGAAATAAGTTGGAAGTGAAAAAAGTATGTTCTTAAAATATTACTGTATGGTCAACTAATCAAATTAGGTGGAAGATTCTTCGGATAATGCTATGTTGAATCATATGGAAGTAGGGTTTCTCAAAATTTAATTACATGGCGTACATAAATTGGTCCTCAACCTTTAAAGTCAAAAGTTGAAGCATAGGATACAAAACGAAATTGAGCCATTTAATGGAAGGTAGTCAATAATAGGTTAGGTATTCTCCATGATCTTCGCCTTCGTTCAAGGTCCTCATGCCTTCGGAAGACGTTCGTTCCCATCTTATGCTGGTTCTATTTACCCACGGCAGGATGAAACAAGGAGAAAAGTATTCATCAATGGGCTTCACGTGGACCCCAGCAACAACCACAGCTTCGGGACAAAGTCCGCGAATTTTCTTTCATTCTTTTTTTCTTTTAAACTTCTTATTTGCCTGCGCCGCCTTTTAGGAAGCTTCTCCGAAAGAAGATCATTTGGATTTGTTAACCTTGGACGAAATCCTTGGGATGGGTACTTATCGATCACAGGGGGATTCAAGAGACCGGCTTGGTTTGATCTTCCGACCTGCTCGAAGCGAAGATGGTGAGAGCTGGTCGATACCCCGAGGCGGGGTTGAAGAAGGGACCGTGGTCTCTGGAGGAGGACGAGAAACTCGTCTCCTACATCCAGAGATACGGACATGGGAACTGGCGGGCTCTCCCAAAACAAGCCGGTGAGTTCCGACCGATCCATATCCGCAAAGCAGTTTTTTCGTTCGCTTACTTTCGGAATATCTACAAATTACGGTCCGTAGGATTCGCAAGATAAAGTGATTAATCCTCTCCCATCAGGGGCACTAGAGAGATTATTCTTATATTTTGTTGCAGTGATTATACAAAATTTTGAAACCTTGTCCTAGCGAATCGAGTTCTCTAAAACATCGCTCTCTCACTCTCCCTCTCTCCGTGTGTTTCATGGCTTGTAGGCCTATCGAGGTGTGGCAAGAGTTGCAGACTCCGATGGTTGAACTACCTTCGACCGGATATCAAGAGAGGGAACTTAACGAAGGAGGAAGAGGAGGCCATCATCGCGTTCCATGGGCAACTCGGCAACAGGTACATACCAATGGGGCTTCAGGATTCTTCTCATTCCGAAAGATTTCATCTCAAACTCTAAAGAGGGGGAGCAGGGGGGAGCATTGAGCAAGAAACAATAGCTGATTGTTGATTGTTTGTGAGAACTAATTCGAGCTTTCTCTTCTCCACAGATGGTCTGCAATTGCTGCTAGACTTCCTGGTAGAACGGACAACGAGATCAAGAACGTGTGGCACACACACCTAAAAAAGCGTATGACGCCGAGTCCGGCTAGCTCTGAACCGAAGAAGTCCCCGGGTGATGCTACGGCTGTCTCCGGCGCCGCTGAGTCCTTAGGGGGGTCATTTAACGAAGTCTCATCGACTGTCCGCATGATGAACAGTGAAACCAAGGACACATGGGTCATCGACGAGAACTCCAGCTCTCTGGATGAGTTTCTGGAGGGGATTGAGAACAGCAGGGATTCCCTTCCCATGTTCACCGCCCACCCTCCCGTCGACGATCACATGGATTTCTGGAGAAACGTGTTGATGGAGGGCGGAGAGAGCAGTCGGACTTGATAATTTTCTGACCGGTTCCATCGTTGCTTTGCTCGTCCATATCCCATTAACACCGTCGCTATAATTCTTCAATCTCCGGAAGGGTATAGACGCAGATTCTCGACAGTCTGTGATTTTCCTGTGTAGATGAACCTAGGGAAGCAGCCAAATGCGAACAGAGAAGTAGTCTGATCATATCTAAAAGAGCCCTCCGTCTTCTCTGTAGTTTTCTTCTGATGTCTCAAATAAAGAGTGTAGTTTGGAAAAGAAATTTCGCAAGAACGTATGCTGCTATTTCATAAACTGTGAGAGTTTACGAATTTCTTTCTCTGCCGTGAGGGTATTACATCATATCAGAGAGAGAGAGAGAGAGAGGAATCATGGAAGCAGTTGCCTACGTAGGTCCGGTGCAGTCTTCGGCAATCATGGAACCAATGAACCATTAAATTATGTATATATCTACATAAAATACACGACTACATATTCTTTTATATCTATAAACTACGCATGCTTGCGTTATTCAGTCATTTGGGTTTTTTGATCCTTGTAGGTTCAAGGAACCCCATAAATCAATCATTATCCGTTCATAGTAAACGGACGTCATTTACAATCTACCAAGGATCAAATTATCACTGCCCCGTTCATTCCATTGCTTCACATAACACAATCACGTCACGATTCTTCCCACTTTACCATGGTGAAGCATCGCGATAAGATGAAGGAAACTTGTTCCAATAAGCCAACGAATCTCCTTCATTTACTTCGCTATTGTCGACCGTATTAGCCTCACATATCCCATATTCAATATTTTCCGAAGCATTTTATTCTATGAGTTTATACTTTCTTTCCGAAACATGAGAACGTAATCCAAAGTCAGAGTTGTCCCTTGTGGCGGCTAATTTAAATGAAGAATGAATCAACTCCGTCGTGTCAGGAGGTAAACCCGGCCAAATCAATCAAGCTGAACAAGGAGCTGCCGTTACTCAGGATCACACTGTAGGGATTTATTTGGAGATCGGGCATAAGAAAGTGGAGCCCCGTCGAGCATGAGAGATAAAGAAGGGGTCGTGAGTCTCTCTCTCTCCTTTTCCGATGGTTGACCTTGTCGTGGGCAATTCGTTCTGCACGTGATTTGAAAAGTTTTCTTCAAAAGCCGGGCTCGGAATGGACACCAAATCAGCCGCCAATTCCGTCCCGAGCTTATTACCTTTTGATGTTCCGTAGCTGACTACGGACGAACCTGGGCGACGACTAATCGCAGCGCCGCCGGAGGTGAAAGAAGGGAAGTACTTTCTGGTCCTGACCCGCGTAGATGTTGACCGGTGTCTCCCGTCGTACTCATTAGTGGTTCTTGGTTATCCCGTTGATTCGGTCTTCGGGTTGAGTGTAGTCGCCACTTGGAGCTCGAAGGAAACGAAGAAAGATGCGAGCAGATCGCTCCTAGCAGCCCCAACATGACGGTTTTCCGATGTCCAAGCTCTCGGGAATATCTGATACATACTATATTTATCGAAAGTATATAGCTCTCGGTAAAATATGTGATTATACAGGACTTGGTTTTATCTTCGAAACCCGCCTTACTAGGTTCGTCAAGGCTCGAATTAAATCAAGTTGGAAACAAAATTCGATATTTATCGGAAGCGGGCGTTGAAAAGGCCCACAAGTTTTTCTCTTGTTGGGCCCTCATCCTAGACACAACAAATAGATGGGCCAACGCCATAATTCATAACCACTAACTTGGGCTGGTAATAGCTGAATAATTGACATCTCTGTTGTTGATCCCAGCTTGTAATCCCCGAGTATGAGATCATACTGACAGTCTCCTACTCTTTTGAGATTGCTGGCGATGGGCTCTGCTTACTTTTGTTTGAAATGTTGAACGCATTTTACATGTTTTCTTCTGTTCATTCTGATATACCTAACCACCAATTCGCATACATTGATAGCTCTCCATTGGAGAGATGATTATGTTAATGAGGTACCATGGCAATTCTTATCAGGCAAAAATGGTACTCAACAAACCCTAAAAATCTGGAATCGCAGTTCTTGAGACAGTTTCATCCGATGAGGATCCAGTGGATCCTGTGAAATATTTTTCAATACGAGTTCATCACTCATACAATGGGGATTTGTCAAAGCAGCATGATTCAAGGCTGGAAAAGAAAAAAAGAAGAAAAAAAGAAGAAAAAAAGAGAAAGAAATCGAATTCCTCAATGGAACTGGGTATTGGACAGTGTTGTTAAATATCAGTGTCAGGAAATTGGCTAAGGTTGAAATGATTTTGACAGAAAACAATCAAGAGGCCAGTGGACAATGAGTCACTGATGCCCACAAATCACATATATTATCCATCATATCCAGAGCTCTTATTCTCTGTCTTCTTATTCCCCTGATGTTCCATCACTTCCTCCTTCCACAGAGTGGTTCTTCCTATCTCGGCTGCGGATCTTGCTGGAATACTTTGCAAAGGCGGTAGACAAGGCAGATTTCACGGTGAAATCAGGTTCCTTGCCATCTTTAGATGAATCTGCTGTACCTTCCACAGCCAGTTCATCATTCTTGGCCACCAGAGGTGGTTCTCTGGGAGCGCTTTCCATAGCAGAAGCTCCCAGCGGGACTGTAGATTCGGAGGAGACACGCCTGAATGGCTTATGGAATGTGTCATATAGACGCTTCACCTGTAATGACCCAGAGTTCATTTCTTTTCCTTGTGAGTTGAACCTTCATCAAGAGAGCCAAGAGTTTGGTGCTTGGTGTAACAGTTTGAACAAAATGGGTTTTTGGAGAAATTTCAAGAATCTACTGATTTCCATTGGGAAAGAAAGGAGTTTAACATATATATTAATAGAGATTCAACAACTTTAGAAGAAAACACATATCTGGATGCAAATTTGAAGAACAAGGAAATAACCTTTTGCTCCCCAATCCCCGGGCACCGTGCAAGGTCTTCCATAGAAGAATCCATTATTCCTGAAAGTGACTGCATCAAAAAGACCAAACGAATGAATAATTTCCCATCATGAGATAATAGATAACAAGGACACAGCCAAATTAGGTTTTCTTCCAAATATGTAACCCACCCAATACTAATCAAGTTTGCTCTGGAGAGAGTTTCAAGTTGTTCCTTCAAAAGTATCTATGAACTTTGCATGTGATTCATTTCGTGAGAAGAAGAAAAAAAATTTAAAGAGACAACAACACTGAGATACTGCTTCGCTGATGCAAATCTTGGCATTAGTTCAATAACAAAGTCAATAGAGGTTTACTGAAGACCTTCAATATCTACTCTATCATCTTCCCTACAGTTGTGTTAAATCGCCTGACAATGATCCGGCTTTGCAGTACCATAGAATCACTAGAGCAGGAAGAAACAATCGATTTACAATGTCCCCTTCGCCTTAGTCATTGTACTTTGATGCTGCTGCTAAACTCGTTCTATTGGCTTGTACTAGTCTTAAGAGGAAATGAAAGGAAATCAACTACGCAGGGGATATATGTGCTCTTATATTTATTTGAAGCACAATAAGAACACAGTATGGATAATTTGTACTTACTCCAAATGTAGTACCAAGTGTGATGACGTCAGTCTTATTGACATGCCGGATGGTGGTGAGTGCATGAGTTAGCTACAAAATAAAAAAGGAAGATTAATCTGGTTAATTGAAAGAAAAATAAATCAGGATCTCTAATTGCTTTATGAGCACTAACCCTTGAACATAGAAAATAACCATCATGAGAAATTTATGAAACTTAATCAAGAGATTTGTTGACAAAACAGTTCCATTCTCAGCTTACATACTCGCATATTCCTTTGAGAGGGCGGATCAGGGAATATGGGTTTATTGGTTCAGCATTAAGTTAAGTTGAATACGTTTTCTTGGGAAGAACAATTAAATTGATGCTTATTCAACCTAAAAGTTTTTGTATTCAGAAGATCCATACTTAAAAATCTTCGATGGAAGAGTTAAAACCATCTTCTGTATCCAATTAGAAGGTTAATGCCCAAACAGTACCTCAAATATTGACGCCAAAGTTTGACTCGTCCTACATATGATGGTAACATATAGCTTAAACTCCTGACCTTACTCTAACCTAGAACCTATTAATGCTTTGGCAAATTAACGACTAATAATGATCTTCTAAGGCAAAGGATTTATTTCTAAAGAAAAGTGCCATATTAGTGATTCTTTAGAACTCACTGAAAGCTATCATCCAATCTAATGTTTGTGAATTGATGTTATTCAGTCGTATTTCAAATCACAGACTTGTCATATAACCAACATAGAAATTACATAACGCCAACGAAATGAAACAACTTCGTTCTCCAACATAGAAATTAGATGTTCTCTTTTGAAATTTTGGTCCAATATATCTGGAAAAGACAGCAAGTGAATAAGAGAAGTACCCGGGATAAATAATCTGTATCCATCTGTTCTCGAATGCTATCTGCAGATTTTTTTTCATAAACCTTTATAGTCTCCAAGTAACGACCGCATTCTTCCAAACTAGCAAGAATGAAGAGAAATTAGCTGCATGTAAAATCGACAAAAAAAACAGAGGCAGTGAAATCTATCTGTCCTGGAAATTATCCTAAAAATATGACTTCCAATATATAAATATTTCCATCAAGTCGAATTCTAAGCAATGGTGAGACAATACCCATCTGTAGAGTTACAGCAGAAAGAACAGGAATAGAGCAGTTGCCTAGAAGTTATTTCCCTTAGAAAAAGAAACTTACAGGAATCTATGTCACTGCCTGAAACCTTAAAACCATCTCAGCTATCCTTGATAGGACTCCAAAACAAAACAAGACATAAAATAGCAAATTCACACCAGATTCATTTCGAGGACGAACCCTAGAGTTAGGAATCCCCTTTGTTGGCCTTTCAATAGGGCCGGCTCTCTCTCTCTCTCTCTCTCTCTGTTAGCTGTTCAAAAGGGCCAATGTTCTCCTGCTTTGCCACTGCCTGAAACCTTAAAAAACAATCCATACCCGTTCCTCTCATAATCCAGCCCTAATATCTCCTTTCACCCCTCCAAGATAGTTGGCAAAATACCTCGACTTAACTCTCACTTGACCACACGCCCTTGAACTTCTTCTGACGTAAGGTCCACAGGGTTCCTAACATTGCTCTCCCCTTGTGAGGTCCACCTTATCCTTAATGTGGAATCCATGAAATTGTTGCTATACTGTGGCCATAACTCAGAGTGACGTTGTTCCTTTCTTTTACCAAGTACATCATCTCCATAACTGAGTTTAGACCGACTCCTTTGGAAACTCTGATCTCCGCCCTGATCTCTGGTTTCAAGGTCTTGATAAATTTACTCTTCAGAACTTCTTCAGGCAGTCCTTCCATTTAAGCAGACATGATTTCAAAAATCTCTCCTGCATTCTCCAATAGATCCCTGCTATTTTACATCTAGGAACTGTTCACGTATACTTCCCACTGTGAGGAGCTGAAACACAGCAACAATTGGTGTTTCAGATTCTTCCAACTCCTGAAAGAGCTTCGTGCTTCAGTTCAACAAAACCACACCAGTGCTTCATCTTCAGAAGTCACTCATATCACCATCAATCGTTTTGCCTCTGTCATCTTGTTCATGGAGAAGAATAATTCAACACAGAATACCCACTCAACAGGGATCCCTCTGCCGAACAGTGGCATCTCCAATCGCCGTTCTCCTCTACAAGGCTCAATGTTGCTGATTGGCTCCGCCCCTAATCTTGGACTCGCATAAAATTCTATTCTTGTACTTGTATTATGTCTTGTTGATCGTCTTGAGCTGTTATCAGCGTCAAGGCACTTGTTTCTTCCTCTTCCACGGGTTTTTATCACTTAGCTTTCGACCCCTTCAATTGCCTAGTTCAAACTCTCTATATTCTTCTCAATTTCAAGTAGTCACTGTAGCTTGGACTTCCATCTCTCATATCTCGGACTTCACTTCAGTCATCTTGGATTTCATCTCACCCATTTTCGACTTCGCCTCTGCTGTTTGTTTCTCTAGAATATCTAACCTACTGTTGTGGGACTTGAGCACCATTGAACCTAGAACCTGTGGAATGTGGGCTCTCCGATGACTCTGATACTAGTTGATAGGACTACAAGACAAAACAAGACAGAAAATGAAGATTGAACACATGAAATAGAAAAGTCACACCAGATTCACACTGAGGACGAATCCAAGAGTTAGGAATCCCCTTGTTGGCCTTTTGAGAGGGCCAACTCTCCCTTTGTTAGTCGTTCGAGAGGGCTAACACTGCTGCGATGCTGCTGCCTGAAACCCTAAAAAACAGCCCGTAACCCTTCCTCCCATAATCCAGCCCTAAATTCCCCTATCACCCCTCCACGAAAGTAGCAAAAAAACCTCTAACTTAACACCCACGTGATCCACACTCCCTCCAACTTCTGCTGACATAAGGCCCATCGGGATCCTAACATATGATAAATAGTCATAATTTTAGAGAAAAAATACCACACAATTTGGCTGAGATTAGGTAATGCGGAAAAATGTGTAACTGGAGTAAGTTTTTGTTGGTCATTTAGCTAGTTGAGAGCGGTTTCCTAGTTCGTTAGTTTCCTGGTCTGTCAGTGTCCTAGTTGGTCAGCTTTCTTAACCTATGTAGTTTCCTTGTTCAGTGGCCAGGTTAATGTTTATATAACCTAGCAAATGTTCTATGATTTGAGTAGTTGAAGAGATTTTTCAGACTGTTTATCCTTGAATGGTTTGCATCAAGTAATATATGCAGTTTGAAAAAACATCATCAGTCATGTCCAAACAACTGTCAGATCATCTTATCTTGGACAGAAAGGACTGTAGCTTTCTATCATAGGCATCAGCTTAAGGAGAAGAGAATCACTTCACCTAGAGGCTCCTCTTTTATCATTGCTATTATGGTCATGGTGCTGAAATCATTGTGGGAGAGGTTGCTTGTAATGTCGTTGATTATATCTTTTGTTAGGAGCCCAACGATAGGTACCTAACTTCTGACATCAGGCAAGCTAAGCCATGCAATCCTCCGTTTTATTACAATTCTTTGAAGGACCAGTTTTTTTTCTTTTTCCCACCTTCCTCCATTATATAATACCTTTAATTTGTGCACATTTGCAGACCACCTATGTTCACTTTTCAAGCCTTATCTGTACCACCCGTAACCTTTTCCTACACCTCTGTCTCAGTGTTTTGCCAATCATCCACTTTCTCATTCGCATCTCTAACTCTTAAGCCATGATACCATTCCCCATGTCCAAGCATTACTGCACATGATGCCTCTCAACACTACCTCTTGCAAAATTTCCCTTCTCAAATAGTTGGTCTTAATCTATCATATGAAACGCTTGAAACACGCTACCCACTGCATCCACTGATCTAGTCTGACGAACAAAAACATGAATCCGCTATTGATTGTGTAGATTACCGTGAATAATGAAAATATCCTCTTTAGATTCATAACAACCCAAATATGTCCATGTTTACCACTGTCAATTTTATTCCAATTCTGTACTTCTATATCACTAATTTTAAGCATTTTCTCTCTGGGGTAATCCCGAATATCTAATCCAGAGTCAGGCAACGAAATATGATATTCATTTCACCAATTTATTCAAGATTATTTTTTTTTCCTAATTTCCTTGTTGAAGTGGACATAACCCTGATGATCTGTAGGTGACCGGACAAAGTGACAGGTTCCAGTCAGTTTTTTCCTGGATTCAACTTGTAGTATTGCAGGATACACAGCCATGCCAAAAAGATCTTGAAGTACATCCCAGGCAAGGGGAGACAAGTTCCAAATAAAAGCACGAATTATAACTTGAAGTTTCATTTTACAGCCTGGACGTGGACGATTCTATCATAGCTTCAAAAAACTCCCATTCTCCCAACCATAGCTTCAAAACCATTTATGCCAAGATACGTCCATGTTTATATGCACTATGAGATGGAGTCAACTTAATCATCTGCTTATCACCCAGTGTATTGCCTTGGATTCTACACGATGCAAATTATTTATATTTTCGTAAGTAGACCAGAACAGTCATTTATAGGTACTGATTAAATTACATCATATCTCATTCAAGTCTGGTTCCTTTTGATGGATTTCTTGTATTTTTCTTCTAGATAATTAACATCCCAAGGTTGTATAGTTCAGAATTAGAACTTGCCATGTTCGTTACCTACCTGGTAGGGTATGTTCACCAGAAGCCATGACCTTTAGGCTCGCTAGGTTTGTCTAGCATTAGATTCCCATGGCACTCCATTTATCACTGACCTCAATAATACCCCCTTAATGGCGAATACTGGATTTTTTTCCTGCATGGTGGGTAGTGCTACCCTTTCTCTAAAACAAAACAAAAATATGTGCGTCACTCATAAATATATGACATGAGGAGAATAAATGGCAACAACAACCTGAGCGCTTTGGCAATCATGGGAAATATCTCACTCAGTAGGTACTGATGAATATGAGCCAATTATAGGCAGATTAACGGCACATGGTTCCCTTGGAAGAGTTAATATTTTCTCTCTGTTCATTTATTCTGGAGAAAGTCCATATTCATGCCATGATGGCAAAACGAACCCTTAATCTTCTGTTGCTAGGTTTTGCATACCTCAACATTTCGGGATGGCCATGTAAAATAATGAGAACTTTCGCATATAAGAAATAAAAAGTCAATTGATACAATAGGATCTTTTAATGTAAATTGATCCTTCGTTGCAAAATTTGTTGACGGAAAGTACAACTCAACTAAGATGTTGAAGGTCAGCAGCATACAGATTAAAATCCATTTAAAACTTGAGAATTATCACTACATGATTCTCCACCAAATTAATAATTTTTTTACTGGAAGCCTTTCTCGAATATGTATCAACAAGGCAAAAATAAATATTCACGGAAAAAGAAATAAAAAGAACAAGAATTATACCTCCAACCACATAAAAGAGTGCAATCATGTAGCAATGATGTCCTTGTGACCTCGAGTAAAGGCTTAGCTACATCAACCTACGAATGAGCGGAAAAAATATCTAGGTTTCAAAATGATACATTAAAGGGCACCGATGTCAACTAGAGGTTTTTCAAAATCTTGTGCTGCTAAAGTTGGGAAGACCATATCCATTAGCAAAGGAAACATTGACACAAACCAATAATCCTTGATGAATGGAGAAGCTTCCAAGGATAGGCGCAGTGCTGAGGATAACATATGACTATGAGAACTGGAGGTGAATTCATATGTCCCTCTTTCACCGTAGTCCAAGGAACCTACGCTAGTCATTTGATGGCCAAAACACAGATTTATTCATCCATAACGTTTAATCAAAGGTTACAAGCAACAAGAGAACCTGACAGTCTAATTAATCCAGGAGTTGACATGAATCGGTAGAATTTCCCGTATTCCTTGATTTGGGGTGCCTCCAGTATATTCAATTTAGATCAATTGACATCATATATTGGAACTTACGCCCATCTGTTCTCAAGGTAAGGTTTATGTTTACTCGCGATTTGTCACTATATTTATCTTTCCCAAATATATAATAAAGGATAACAAAAGGATGGTATTTTGGTATATTCATTTTCATTTTAACACTATTTTTACACATTAAGAAGGTTAACGCATATAAGACAGAAGGGAAAAAAAAAAGTTGATGGTGGTGGAGTGAGACTACTTTACTTCATTTATGCAGAGGACATACTTTGTTATCCATCATCATGACCTAAAACCCCTTTCTTTCCTATTTCTTTCACTTATTCTTCTTCTTGCTTTGTCTTTGTGTGGGATCTCTTCATCAAATGCCACAATGTTATGAAAGATCACAACAATGTATCGGCTCCCAAAATTTTAAATAGTTTGAGAAACGCACAGAAAAGTAGTGCTTACCACATCAACATGACACAGAACAACACGAAGCTTAAAATTCTTCTGCAGTTCTCTTATACGATAATACAAGTAATCAGGATGAAGAAGATGATAACGAAGGCTGCACAAAATGGGCAAATGAGTCAAAAGGAAATCCTAATGGTTGTTTCATAGAATGTTCAGTTTATTGTACACAGAAGAACATGATTGAAAGGCAAAAAGCTTTACAAGGTAGTCTGATTCAGATATCTATCAGAACGCATGCATAATTGCTAGAAATCGAACACCAATGGCAGGAAATGCTTTGAAAAAACAGTGTTGATAAAACATTAGCTTGTAATCATTTTTCAGGCCAATAGATCAATTCAAAATGTTTTGCTCGTAGCACCTTAGATTTCAATTTCCTACACTGTCTTCTACCCACATTTATCAAGCTAATGTTAGGTCTTCCCTCTCATTGACATTAAAAACGGGCATTACATATCTTTTTTCATTAAGGCGGCCGAATGGAGGTTAGAAGATGACAAATGAAGCTCCCCTAGACAAGATGTCACATTATCCAATCCACTAAATAATGTAAAACAGACCCATGCCTCGTTTTGATTACAATTCCTAAGGAAATTTAAAATCCCAGCCTAGGAAAATGTGTCCTAATCATATTTCATTTTGGTCGTATTTATGTGATGAATTTCGTAATTAAATCAATCATACACTGGAACATCAACACAACATCTTTCATACGCTGACTTAATATTCAAATTCAACTATTTTACAGAACTGAAAGAGATTGAAGGTTTTGTTGACAATCGTGCAGAAAACTAAAGCACAGAGACATTATTGGATCTTAAACAGATCCTAATGGAATGAACACATTTTAAATGTCCACAACATAGCATAGAAGAATAAAAAAACGTGTCCTGTGATATGGAGACCTTTCCAGGCCAGCATACAATATGCTACAAATTCCTCCTCTGATTTGAATCGATTTTGTGTAACTGGGCAGAGGGAAAGAATAGTACACAATCCATCTTTTTGAGATTACCGAACACAAGGGCAGGGATATAGATCATAAAAAATTGCACAAGCACATGATCTTTTAACAGAAGGCATGGCCCCTTTGGGCGAGCCATGAACTGAAAACTTAATTTTTTTGCTTTTGTACCTTCAAGTTTACTTAATCCCCTCTGAGACACTGTATGATGCCAACAGCGAAGAAGACAGTAGATTTCGTGCTTCATTAGATAGCTTAATAGCTTCAGAGTTTCGCTAATAATCTTTCCCTCGTCTAAATCTAGCGCCTGTTTCTTGCTGAAAATTTGTCACTCCATATATCGTGTCCTAACTCTCAGTCACTCTCTCTCTCAGGCAACTTTCCATCCAAAATAGAAAGGAAGAAATGGGTTCTAAATTCTTCGAGATTCAAGTTGTACAAACAAAGCATTGATTTGAAAGCCGCCAGATAGATAACAATAATATCTCAAAAGAAAGTTAATAACAAGAACAGAAACACCAGCACAGACTTCAATAGAAAATACAAGAAGACGCAGAAGGTCATGGCTACCTAATATATAATGCACAGGAGTTCTGTCCAAGCAAGTAGTCGCATACAACGTCCGCGAACACCCACTTCACGTTCCTTATATGCTTAAGCAATGGATTCCCTTTCTACAAATGGAAAGAAGAACACGTGCGCCCAAGAAGAATCTCAGGAAATTTTCCTGACACTGGAAAAGAGCAAGTGCGCGATTTCCTCCCGCAATCGAAAAACGGCAGACCGACCTGTCTATGGCTAACGAGGATCGCATTGCGGTTCTGGGCGGAAAAATTCTGGGAAGAAGAAGAAGAAGAAGAAGCAGACATTTCCCCCACCGGATTGTCAGACTGTGCTGCGGCATGATACCTTCACAAGGAAACCAGCTGTTCGAGATTGCACGAGTACAAATTGTCTCGAAACCGCAAAGAAACAAGGCCACTCACTCACCCGAGGGCATTCTCCGGAGTCTGAGAAGGACAGGGAGGCGGAGGTGGGGGCGGGGAGTAAAACTCCGAGCTCTTGACGAAAGAGAAGGCCTGAGAGAAGGACGAAGCGCTGGGCTGAGGGACTGACGCGGAAGAGCAGGGGGTACCACCCCCTCCCTCGACGTCGGTAGCCGCCCTCTGGTAGGAGGGAATCATTAGGACGCTCTTCTTCCCGGTTCTCTCCCGCCGCCGCTCCTCCTCTCCGCCGCCGTCTTCCATCCCCGCCGCCCCCCGGAGGACCGACGACGAATACAAAGAAAGCGGCGCCTCTTAGTCCTCTCCACATAATGGGCCTTGTCCACTATTCCAAGCCCATCAGAAGGCGCCTATCCTGATCAAACGGGTATCTAGTTAGGCATATGTTATACATGGCCAACTGTCATTAGCCCACGTTGCGTTGACTAGGTCTAGTATTTGACCTACAGATTCAACCCTCCGACGACAACATGGATAGGGAGGAAGTCAGAAATAGCCGCCAAAGTTTAATAAACTTAATACTGGCATACGCTCTCTTCGACTTGAGATATTTTGTCTCTCAGGTCAGACCCAGTGGGTGAGAGGAGATTAGGTGGGACCCCATTGACGAGATCCTAAGGAGAGAGGGAGGGGAGAGGTTGAGAGAGAGACGGAGGAAGAGAAAAAGAAACGGTGAGATAGAGGGAGGGGAGAGCGACGGAGAGAGAATGGAAGAGAAGGAACGGAGGAGAGATGAGAGATTGAGACATGGAGAGATGGGTCGAGGGAGGCGGACAGGATGAGAGAGAAAAGAGGATAAGCCAGAAGCGAGAGGGAACCTTCTAGCTGAATGCACAGCGTTCGTCGTCAGCCTCAGGCAATATCGAATGAAGGATTTTGTCCCTTGAACTGGAAGAGAAGGCACGTTTTTTTATTAAAAAAAAAAATCCTCGTTCTTCGGTTCGTATCTCCCTGCTCTCAGTATAGGTGGGAATCAGATACCCTCGAGGAGATGGGGGAGCCCCACCGGCGACGTCATGGTGCCTTCGGGTCGCACCGCCGAGAAGATGGAGGCCGATGCTCTGGAAAGCTGTCACTCGTCTGTATTAATGGCGGATGCGGGGCTCTCCTCTCCTGCCCCTCTGTAAAAGCTTAAAGAGATAGAGTTCTACAATTTTAAACATGCTCGCTCTTGTTGCCTTACATCTTTCTTTTCTTCTGTATTCTGTGTTCTGTACGAAAAATTTTAAAAAAAATCCAATTGGTGGACGCCGGCGGCGAAGAGGGGGCCGGGGGGAGGCTATGGACGCTCTGCGGGTGTGTCCTTGTCTACGGCGGCGGCGGCGGCGGCCATGTCGACTGACGGCGTCTCGTTGGCTTCCTTCCTGCTACCTCCACGCATCTTGAGGAGCCCATAAATTTTGCGGAAGTCCTTCAACGTCCCTTCCTTGGGCCCCGTCCCCAAGGGGCCGCTCGGGTCGGAGCAGCCCTGTAGCCCTCCTTCCTCGGCCGGTGCCGCCTTGGCGCCGCCGCCGTCCCCCGTCCGCCACCGCCCCATGCCTCCGCCGCCGCCGATCCTCCCCAAAAGGGCGGCTCCCATCCTCCCCGCCGCCCCTCCTACCTGCTGCTGCCCCCGCTGCATCTGCTGCAGGGCGCTGATCACCGTCTTGAGCGCCCGCGATGGCGACCCCCTGTTAGCAATCAGGATCTCGCCGATCTCTGCGTGGCTGAGGCTCGCCCCCGCCTGGAAGATCTCCTCCACCTGGGGGTAGAGCTTGTGGTCCTTGAGCCCCAGATAGCTCCCTGCCAGCGTCTTGAAGGCGGTGAAGTCACAGAGGGGGAAGTGAATGTGCACGTCTAGCCGGCCCGGGCGGAGCACCGCCGGGTCCACCTCCTCCTTCCTCCCGTTCATGGTGAACACCATCACCCGCTCCTCCCCGCAGCAGGAGAATATCCCGTCCATGAAGCTCAGCATCCCCGAGAGGCTGCCCCCCTCCGGTCCGTGCAGGTGCCGGTCGATGTCCTCCACCACGATGACAGACCGCGGGTTCGTCCGCAGGAGCATCGCCTTCAGGTCGGCCCCATCGGCCACGCGGGCCAGGTCGAGATCGTAGACGTCGTAGCTCAGGAACTTGGCCATGGCGGCCACGAAGCTCGACTTGCCGGTGCCGGGGGCGCCGTAGAGGAGGTAGCTCCTCTTCCAGACCCTCCCCAGGCGGTGGTAGTAGGCCTTGTTCTTCAGGAAGGCCTCCAGATCGGAGCGGATGCGGTTCTTCAGGTCCGCATCCATAGCGATCGTCTCCAGCGTCGAAGGGTGCGCGAAGGGCACCGACCTCCACGGGTGGCTCTCCCCGGCCCCTTCGCCGGTGCAATTCGTGTAAAGGCGGACCTCCCGGCGGGCCTGCTCGAGCTCGTCGGCGACCGACTCGACGTGGTTGAGGTAGGGTCGGAGGACACGGCGCTTGTCCTCCCGGCGGACCCTCAGAACCAGGGCAGCGTCGGAGACGTTGGTCCAGGAGATGCGGGCGCCGAGGAAGGAGTCTCGCATGCTGCGGCCGGCGTCCAGCCGAAGGGACAGGTGGTCGCCGCCGGCGAGCTTCTTGGGGCCGGCGGTGGCGGAGAAGATGTTGGCGTAGTCGGAGTCCTCGAGAGAGGGGAGCGATGAGACGTACGCCACCGCCTTCCGGTAGAGGGGATTCTCCTGCAGGTTCTCGTTGTACCGGGGGATCTTGTAGTGCTGGTACGAATGGAGCCTGTCCTCCAGCTCCCGCCAGCGCCGCGCCGCCAGCGGCAGCAGGAACCTGAAGGAGACGATCATCCGCAGCACCACCAAGCCACACGCCGCGTAGCCCAGCACTGCCAGAGGGCTTGCCGCCATCATCATTCCCACCACCCCCACCGTCGGAAGATACAGCGCGGAGAAGCCCATCCGGACCCCTCTATGTATTCTCTCTCTCCCTCTCTCTCTGGAAGACCTCTGAGCGCCACCTCCCCTAAAATGAACGATCGGGGACGAAGACGACCCTGCGGCCTTGAGGGAGTCCAAGTTGTATAGCGAGAGAGAGAGAGAGAGAGAGAGAGAGAGAGAGGTTGTGCTGTCCCGCGTGGAATACGCGTAATTTTCAGCTCTTTAATTGCGTGTTGATTCCGGTAAGCACGAGGCAGTACTTCCGTGACCGGGGGGGTTTCGAAGCCTCGTCTGCGTCACAACGCGTGGCGGCCAGATCTCACGCGAGCCATGTCTACGTGCTGACACTCGCTGCACGATCGCAAGGCCCCCGTTGACCGAACAAACGGCGGACATGACCGGGCGTATCTGGGCCCACCGCCGAAATAAAAATGACTGACGGTCGCAGCCCTCCAGCTTCCATTTAAAGTGGGGGAATGCTGCCTCGGGGTCAACACCACTTGCAGGGAAGGGAAGCGAAGGAAAGTTGCGGCTAGGCCGCCTTCTGTCCGTCAGCTGAGCTGTCTCCGTGAGAGCAGTCAAAAGCTGTGAAAGTGCGTGAAGAAGTGTCGGGATCGGCCAGAGTCTTGCTTAGCGTTGCGGCGGCAGATGCGACAAAAATAGCAGCCAAAGCAACGGTCACTTCTCCATTAAATGAAGCCAACTGACGCCCGTCTTAAAAACCGGAATAAATAATAATAGTAGCTAGCACAAAATAGTTGTATCTGCAGTAGTTCTGATCCGGATGGTGGACTCGATGGGCTTCTTTGCCCAATCACCCAGAGAGACGCATTTTTAGGGCCGATAAATCTGATATTTTTGTTTGAAACTAGCATAAGCTTCACCTGATCTTGGCTGTTATCAGCCTTGACTTTGAAGGAGAGAAGTTCCGTATAGTCAATGACATGTGGCGAACTTATGCCCTCTTTCCTCAGCTACTCCTTACAGCAATTGTCGTTAGATTTTGAGTCTATCCAGTGGATTTACTCCATGAGATATCTAGGCATAGAGCATGCATTTTGAAAGTAATACATTGTGTCAGATATTCTCACGTAGGGGAAATATGTAAGGTTTCACTATTTAGCTCAGCTCATAATTTCATCCTACTCATTGACTTCTATTTTCTCATGAGAAGGAAGGAACCTTATGAAATAATCTACGATTATAACATAGTCTAATGTATAGTAATGATTATTAAACCCTACCTACTCATCCTCTTTTTTAGGAAATGATAGGGGAAAAGTAGAGTTTTAGTAAGAGACGGAAAGAGAGAGAGGTGCATAGTATGTCTTCACAATAATAGACTATAACTTTACGCTTAGTACCATTATTGAGATTCTCCCTCTTATTACAATGCGACTTCTCTGAACGAATTTATAGTCATTTAAATATACAAATTACAAATGCAATGAAGAAATATTTATTCCATAATTCTTAAATTTACCAAGGCATTTGTAAGATCAACAAGATATATCACAAGAAAGCCCTTGAGGGCTGCCATATCAAAATACAGCTTTCAATATTTTGTTGTTCATTCTCTCTTGACTATACAATATTAACAGCTCAAATGGAAGTTTTCCAGCTCAACATAATCTAACAGAGGGTTTTCTGTGTTTCATTATGAATCTTTTATGATATGTGTTGCCAGAGACTATGGACCATTGAATCAAAAATGGTCTAAGGATGACTAAAAAATGTAGAGTGATTGAACCCCTACCTACTTCCACTATCTTAAGAGTTGATGCTCTTTAGTTTAAATTATTATTTCTTAAACATTATTTCTAAGTACTCGTGAACCTATTTCAATGCTCATGAATTTGTAATCAAGCATTATTTCAACTTTGCTAGCTTTGGCCCATTAAACAATTATTACAATACTATTAAGCCTTGACTAGCATAAATAGATTTGTCTCACCATACAACTTAAGGTTTTGTTAAACTAGTGTGTAAGTTCATGCCACAAATAATTGGTAACAATTTGTAATTTAAAAAATAATTAACAAATGTAATGTTACTAAGTTGACTTTCTTGATTTAGTTCCAGCTAGTGTTCTACATTGTTCAGTTGCCTACAATTTTTTCTTTGTTGTTTTGGAAGATCTGAATGATGATTACAAATTCATGCTTGATTGTGTCAAGTAGTGGCTGATCTTTTTCTTTTTTTGTGAGCTCAAGTGGACTTAATAGAGGGAATTTATTGATCTGATGATTATCCCTCTCCTTTAAAGAGGGGATGAAGTCACCTATAAGATGAGATTTGTATTGATTTTGGGAGTTTAATAATTTTGATGATGACAAAGTGGAGAGACATATAAAATGATAATTTTATATCAGTTTAACTATTTTTTTTAATGATCTAAATCATTGTAAATGAAGATGAGCTATAAATCAAGGAAAGTACATTCGAGATTATAATGATCCTTATATATATTAAAATGGTAAAATCTTTTTTCAATGTAATTTTATATAATGAGTACAAGCATGTTGTAGTTATTGAATAAGTATGTCAACATAAACACAATGCAACACGCCACCCAATTAAAGCCAAAGTTGTTGAATTGTTATGATACTCATAATATTAACTAGATTTTGATGAAGGTTAAGTTAAAGCATGGATATCATAGCCAATGGCCCTATGTCTAGCCATTGTGAAGGACCATTAGACAGCCCAAACTATGGAATATAAAGCATGGACTTCAGCCCACAATAGACCAAAGTGAGAAAGAAAGAAGAGGGAAGTGAGAGCCACAACTATTAGTTTTGAGTGTCAAATGTTTACTTGTAACAAAGAACAATTATTAATCCATGGATGAATTTTTTTTTGTTATGTTTAAATTCAGAACTGTCATAAATGAAATCAGGTCAAAATCATTCAAGGGAAAAATGGTCCATATTCTTATCCACATGATTAAAACTTTTTGGCTGCAAAATGGTGATACAAATATGAACACAATTGATTGGAAGCTAGCTTGTAGAGGAACACAATACAACAAATAAAACTCAAAGGTTTCCATTTTTTATGAATTTTAAACTATTAATAAATTTATTTTGTAATTAAATTCCAACCATGAGTCTTGCCCAAAATAGATTACAAAACCAGCTGTTTTGACTACCATTATGGTGCATTAAATTTTGAGTATATATGGACATCTTGCACTCAAATTATGCTTTTGAGTGAAAAAGAAAAGAAAAAAAATTAGAGAGAGCTTCTCATGCCCCAAACTTCCTCTAAAGAATGAAAAGTGAGATCATCATCCTTGAGCACTTAAGGAGCTGCAAAACCACTAGTGTTCAAGCCATGTTTGACTTCAACATGTACTTGAAGCTTCCTCCATCCAAGAGAAAGGTTTGCTAATACCTCAATCTCCATTACACAGGCTCAAAGAGGCTTATGTATTCAATGGTTGGTAATTTGACTCATAAGATCCAACATATACATTTGCTAAGACATGTACATTCACAAGTTAGTCACTAGAGCCAAAGAATCTAACACAGTCATTGAGGTTTGTGTATTCAGTGGATGAATTCAATGTGTTTCAATTATGGCTTAAAGAGTTTATAGACATTGTCTTTAGAGAGTAGAATAGGCCTAATTGAAAGAAACACTTAAAAAATTTATGTAAATTTTTATCTTTTGTGTCAAATGATTGAGAATTAAATATAGGAAATAATCAAATTTGGCCCCCTCTTGTACTATAATGATGCCTAACCTAAATATATAATAACATCTGCATATATTCTTTGATGAGTTCACACAAGTATAAAAGTAAATTTAACCATGAAAAAGAAGAGTAATTTAACAAGTAAATATTCAAAAGAAAAAAACCAACTATGGCTTAGTTGTGTGTAAATCTAGTTTTGGTTGACCAAGAGTTATGAATTTAAAAATGATTTAGTTGGGTGATAATCAATTTTTGTGAACCTATGGTCATCAATCAAGAAAAAAGGTTTCAGGATGAAACATCTAAGTTTGTTGGAGCAATTAAATCTAACATTACGTCACAATGTTTGAGTGTAGCCTAAGGATGTGATCTTTAAAGAGGGGAGTAGGTTGAGTTGACCAAACCATTATAAATTCTATGTAGGATCAAGAAGAAAACTAATTCATCCCCTCTCATCTTTATTTCTCATTCTACCTTAATATAATCAACAATTTTAGGTATCCAATGATCATTTATGATGCCTATCAATAACTTGAAACACTACCATTATCTATCACATCAACTCTCAATTCACAAAATATTCATTAATTTTATTATACCGATGGTTTTTTTGATATAAGCAATGATGGTATATGAAGAATAAGCATTGACTAGCTCTTTGCTAGTAGCAACAATGAGGTATAACCACTATTCAAAATAATTAGGTGTGCCTACGAGGTACAAGTATTATTAGGAAATAATTGACTAATAGGTTTAGAAATGAGTGATATTGAAGGTCTAACGAGAGGAATGGAGATTATTAATATGGGAACCTCCTTAAATTTACTTTCTATTGATTAAACTTCTAAATCCTATTCGTGGTTAAAATATTGTCCACAACTACAGTGAATATATGAGTTTGGAGTTAGTTGTTGAAGCCAATATTCTAATTGGTGTGTCATGGACAGTAAAATAGCCATGCTGAAGTCTAAAGATTAAAGCTTTTAATATATACGAATTAACTCTGTAAAGTCTAAAAGTCAAGGTAGTTTATAGGTAGTGTTTCATAACCATTTAACTTATGCAAAACAAACTTTGATTATTTCCATCTACGAAACAAAGATTGCAGCAAATGTAACTCGACATGATAAGAAATGAAAAACTTCAAATCCCATAGATATTATTCCCTTAATGTGAAGATATATATACCTTGTGTGCGTATCATTATAGTGAAATTATTGATTCAACTAGAACGTTAATGACATGAGACAAACTTGTGAATTGGCCATGT